TTTGCACTTGAACGTAAAAGTTTTGCCTAAAGTCCAATAAGACATTAGAGAAGGTTTCATGTCTTTGCGGTTTACAGTTTTGAAGCAATAGCAATAAAAAAAAATTTCGCACATGGGGCAATAACTTTTAATAGGTTCAATCTTAAGGGACGAGAATGAAATCTATGACACAGTTTTAAGAGTACATATTAATGATGCATAGACATTAAGCATATGTTGAAAGACAAAAGAGATATAAAAAGAGCTAAATTTCTCAGTTTTGGAATGACCTTGACCTTTGACCTTTAAATGAATTTTAAGCTCAATATTCAATGAATCTTATGCAGTTGGGTTCATGTCTCTACACTATCTCGTTTTGAAAATTTTTAATTATTTGTGTAAAATTCAAAAAGTTTCAGGGGCAATAACTCATTGAAGGAGTCACCGAAGACTTTAGTGAAGGTTTCATATTTGTACGGTTTACGGTTTCGAAGTAGTAGCGATAACAAGGTTTACCGCACAAAGGACGATAACTTTTAATAGGGTATTTTCTTACGGAATACGAATAAAATCTTTTAAATAGTTTTAAGAGTACATATTATTAATGCTAAGACAGTTTGTATATGTTAAGAGACAAAAAAGATATAAAAAGAGCTTATCTTCTCAATTTTGGAATGACCTTGACCTTTGACCTTTGCATTAATTTCATGATCAAAGGTCAATGAATCTAATGCAGTTGGTCCCATGTCTCTATCACTTCTCGTTTTGAAAATTTTTAATTATTTGTAAAATTCAAAAAGTTTCAAGGGCTATAACTCATTGAAGGGGTCACCGAATACTTTCGCAATGAATAGATTCCAGAGTCCTCTCAATTAGTCGAAGACATTGGTAAAGGTTTCATAACTCTACGGTTTACGGTTTCGGTTGCATGTGCGTAATGACCATATAGAGGAGTAGCGATAACAATCATTTCTTGCGAAAGGGGCAATAACTTCGAAAGGGGTCATAGTTCATACGCGTTGGGTCGAATTTGTTCCTAACTTTTAATGACCTTTACGATGAACAAAAAGTCTTTTCGATAAATGTCGAAACAAAAAATCAGCGGAAGAAAAATAAGAAGAAGAATAACTAGGAGACTTATTGTTAACAGAACAATAAGAGGTCTTTCCACCTTCTTTGATGTTTTCAATTTTGTTTATTTGACTCCTTAAAATTAAATTCCATGAATAAAAAAACCAAAACTGTCTTAACCGATAGAAAAAATTAAAATTGAAAAAAATTGAAATGACCTTGACCTTTCACCTTGAAAATTTTTCTAGGTCAAAGGTCAAGGGCACAATGCAATTGATCCCATGCTTTTACCACTTATAGTTTTCAAGTTATAAGGTTTTATATTAAGTACAAAGAAGTTAAAGGGCAATAACTCATATAAGGGGTCATCAGATCCTTTTGCATTTTTACAATGAAGTTAGGCCTACAGACCCTTAACACATTAGAGAAGGTTTGGTGTCTCTACGGTCTACGGTTTTGAAGTAGTAGCGATAACAAGGTTTTTCGCATAAGGGGCAATAACTTTCAATAGGGTCAATCTTCGGGGACAAGAATGAAATCTTTGAAATAGATTTAAGAGAACATATTAAAAATGCAAAGACTGATTGTATATGTTAAAAGACAAAAGAGATATAAAAAGAGCTTGATTTCTCAATTTTTGAGTGACCTTGACCTTTGCATAAATTTGAAGGTCAAAGGTCACTGAATCTAATGCAGTTGGTCCCATGTCTCTACGACTTGTCGTTTTGAAAATTTTTGATTATTTGTAATATTCAAAAGTTTCAGGGGCAATTACTCATTGAAGGGGTCACCGAATGCTTTCGCAATGAATAGATTGAAGAGTCCCCATAATTTGGCAAAGCCATTGGTGAAGGTTTCATACCTTTACGGTTTACGGTTTCAGAGGAGTAGCGATAACAAGGGTTTTTAGCACAAGGGGCAACAACTTTACAAAGGGTCAATCTTAGGGGCCAAGATTTATATCTTCTAAAGAGTTTCAAAAGTACATATCAAAGACATAAGATAGATCATATATGATTAAGGACATAAGAGCTATTAAGAGAAATTTATTTCTCATAATTGGAATGACCTTGACCTTTGACCTTGAAATGAATTTTAAGGCAAAAGGTCATTGAATGTTATGCAGTTGGTTTCATGTCTCTACGACTTTTCGTTTTGAAAATTTTCAATTTTTTGTAAACTTTATAAACTTTCAGGGGCAGTTACTCATTGAAGGGGTCAAAGAAAACTTTCACAATGAATAGACTGAAAAGTCTCCTAAATTAGTTGAAGACAATGGTGAAGGTTTTATATCTCTACGGTTTACGGTTTCTGATGAGTAGCGATAACAAGCTTAACGGTGAAAGGGCCAATAACTGCGTAAGGGGTCTAAGTTAAAATATGGGGGGTCATTTTTCGGAATAACTTTAAATATCCAGTATCATGAACTATAAAGTTTTTCGATAAGTCTTACGGTGTCAAAACATAAGGTGAGAAATAGAATAATAAAAAACATAAGCATTTCAATAGGTCTTTCCACAGAAAGGTGGAAAGACCTAATAAGAAACAGAAGAAAATCAATAGGTCTTTCCACAGAAAGGTGGAAAGACCTAAAAAGTCCCGTAGGAGGACGAAATAAAAAAAATAATTTTTTTGATAAATAATCGACTTTTGTATATTCATTTTTGCTTTTTATGCTATCCTAACAGGCCCCTTACCACTGAACACATAATGGCTACAAATAGGAAAGCAGGACATTTAATTGTTTATTTCATCATCTGCCAGTTTGGGCCAGTGATATAAATTTTGTGATGTTGATCAAAATAGATTTTAAAAGATCAATTCTTTTAAACTCTTTCAAAATATTTTTATTTCTTTTAATGTGTTAGGTGAATGTGTAGACATTGTTCAAGAATATATTTGAAACCTAAAATTATAATTCTTATTATAAAACAGACAGGGAGTATTGGGGAGTAGGGTGAACATTTTTTTCCATTAAGTTTAAATATTTTTTTTGGCTGCCACAAACGATACTATACATGCCTGTATATATTTGTATATACTTGCTTTTTTATAGTTGATTTTTAGCTCTACTGGTCAGAGACCAGAAGAGCTTATGCGATAGTAATGCTGTGCGGTGTTGGCGTTGTTACTAAAAATAGAAATTTCTGTGAAATTCTTTCAAAATGCTACTCCTCCTACAGTTTTGGTCTGATTTCAATATAACTTGGCACACAAGTAGACTACACTAAGATACATAATTCTGTGTATTGGTTTTTGATTTCGATGAATGATGTTGGCGTTGTTACTAAAAATAGAAATTTCTATGATATTCTTTCAAAATGCTACTCCTCCTACAGTTTTGTTCTGATTTCAATATAACTTGGCACACAAGTAGACTACACTAAGATACATAATTCTGTGTATTGGTTTTTGATTTCGATGAATGATGTTGGCGTTGTTACTAAAAATAGAAATTTCTATGATATTCTTTCAAAATGCTACTCCTCCTACAGTTTTGATCTGATTTCAATATAACTTGGCACACAAGTAGACTACACTAAGATACATAATTCTGTATATCGGTTTTTGATTTTGATGAATGGTGTAGGCGTTGTTACAGAAAATAGAAATTTCTGTGAAATTCTTTCAAAATGCTACTCCTCCTACAGTTTTGGTCTGATTTCAATATAATTTGGCAAACAAGTAGACTACACTAAGGTACATAATTCTTTATATCCATTTTTGACTTCAATGAACATTATTACCTTGGTTAATAAAGATAGCAATTTCTGTTACTCTCAAAATGCTACTTCAAATACAGTTTTAGTCTGATTATAATATAATGTGGCATGCAAGTAGACTACACTAAGAACATAAAGAAACTTATTCAAGGATCATTATTCTCTTTTTTGCTAGTGTAAAGTTTCAATTCCCAACTGCTTAAGTACTTTCCTCTTCCTTTGCTGTAAGTACAAACCAGTAGAGCTTCAGTCTCGACAGAGACTTCTGTTTTTTATTTCTTCAGGCTATTGTTTATTTCTTCCTAAAATGGACTTAACTTCTCCCATAGTTTTTATTCATTACATCTGATGCATAAGTGAACCTTTTCTGAATAATGATGCTTAGACTGTAAGCTATAATAGAAACCTAAACAATGTCACTGGCAATTAAGCTACCATGGGCAGTTTTAAACCTGTGGAAGGAAATAATTTACAGATACTTTTGAATACAGATACATAATTATGTCATTGGGCAACATCAACGTCAGCATTTTATTTGTCCTCTGAACGGTTTTGAATGGAACTCCTATTGATAAATTTTACACTAAACCAAGCTATGGTGATGCCATGGTCTTTGCAGATCTACCTTTATTTACCCGCCATGGTTCATCTTAAAACCGGAAGTACGAGTTCGTAAATTTGAAAATCCCGATCCAGACTCAAATTTGACATCGGAAAGAAAAAATTCTGTTTTTCTCAATGTTATTTTTTTTCTGAAAATTCAAGAATAAAAAAATGCTGGCTTAATCAGATGACAGAGATCTCGACATTAAATGAAAGATTTAGTATGTTGTTAAACGTCCCGGTCTTTTGAAAGTTTTTCATACATATGATTCAATGAAAGAAAGTTCCACTCTTAACTTACGTGTGTATTCCTAGATGAAACTTTTTTTGCATTTTTAGCCTAGTAAAGTTACTTGGGAATAGGGCTCTAAAAATTTAATATTCAATCATACATAAAATGAAATAAACCCTCAGTCTGGGAGCCATGGAAAGAGTTCATACTTTTGAAAATTGTTTGTTAAATGCAGTCGTACATTTGCTTGTTATGAAATTGCACTAAAATGTCTTCTAGTGCTGGCTGGTAAGAAAACTATTAATATTGCGTACCTTTTGCTATATTTTGCCCAACCTCTACAGATCCTCAGTAGGGACTGAGTTTTAAGTCTTATTTTGTAGCGCTTTAATTTACATGCAGTAAATATTGTCCAATCTTTGTTTTAATTTACCTGGATCAACAATTTCCATGCAAATGTTTGCAATAGGATGAAAATAACCCTTTGAGCATTTCTCTATTTTCAAGGTTCTATTGTGATAACACAAGATGAAATCTGGGCTCCAAAGCTTATTTGGGAACGGGTTTGGACCATTTGCCTTTCCAACACAAGTAGGCAGTCTCTGAGGACATGGCAAGCAATTCAAATCTGATGATTCACATATATTTTGAAGATATTCACCTGAAAAGACAAACATGCAAAAACTGAAGATAACGAACAGTGAAATCTTCTAAATCCTATAAATAATACAAACGGGGAACAATCCAAATTTACAGATCCCTTTCAATATGGCATTTAAAGGAGGAAATATCATCTGTCAATATGTCAATAATAGGAGGAAAGATCATCTTTCTACAATTCACTAATAGGAGAAGATTGCCTGAACAATATGTCACTAATAGGTGGAAAGATCACCTGTCAATATGTCAATAATAAAAGGAAATATTATAATACGAGGGTTGTCCCAATAAGTCGTAAACAAGGAAAACAGTTTTGTTTCTCTTTGCTAAATTAAACTTTTCTTGTCATAGCAAAAAAAAACATAGGTAATCAGAGATTACAGAGCTCACCTCAACGTGTTTTGTCTTTAAGTAAGGCAAATTAAGTCACAAAATTAACCAACAAAAAGTATACATCCAAAAATGCAAAATTTATGCAATTTTAATACTTTGAAATAGACCTATATAAAAACTAAAAACCAGTTCTTCATCATGAAAATGTAACTAAAATCCAGCATCTGAAGAAAGATTGAGAGTTTTCATCCCTTGATGCATCATTTGTGCAACTGGTTTATATAAGCCTTAGTTTTTTGGTGATAGACTTGCACCCATAACTTTTACGAGGTCTTTTATCTGGAAAATGTATGTCGAATTCAGCATCTGAAGCAAGTCCATTAGTGTGCATCCTAAGATGTATCATCCATGCAAGTTTGGTCAACATAGGGCTTAAAGTTACTTGCAAATGAAACCTGTATAAAAAAATTAACCTTTCCACTAATCCAGAAAATGTAGGTCAGATTCAGCATCCGAACCAGCCTAGTAGAATGCATCCTTAGATGTACCATCCATGCAAGTTTGGTCATTATAGGGCTCAAAGTTACTTGGAAATGAATCCTGCACCATAAACTTTAACCTGTTTACTCGTCCAGAAAATGTAGGTCAGATTCAGCATCCGAAGCAAGGCTGGTAGTATGCATCCTAAGATGTATCATCCATGTAAGTTTGGTCAATATATGTCTCATAGTAACTTGAAAATGAAACTTGCACCGAAAACTTTAACCTGTTCACTCAACCGGAAAATGTAGGTCAGATTCAGCATCCGAAGCAAGTCTAGTAGAATACGTGTGTATCCGAAGAAGTCTAGCCTAGAATACCTAAGATGTACCATCCATGCAAGTTTGGTCATTATAGGGCTCAAAGAATCTTCGAAATGAAACCTTCACCAAAAAACTTTAACCTGTTCACTCAACCGGAAAATGTAGGTCAGATTCAGCATCCGAAGCAAGGCTGGTAGTATGCATCCTAAGATGTATCATCCATGTAAGTTTGGTCATTATATGTCTCATAGTAACTTGAAAATGAAACCTGCACCAAAAACTTTAACCTGTTCACTCAACCGGAAAATGTAGGTCAGATTCAGCATCCGAAGCAAGTCTAGTAGAATACATCCTTAGATGTACCATCCATGCAAGTTTGGTCATTATAGGGCTCAAAGTATCTTCGAAATGAAACCTTCACCAAAAACTTTAACCTGTTCACTCAACCGGAAAATGTAGGTCAGATTCAGCATCCGAAGCAAGGCTGGTAGTATGCATCCTAAGATGTATCATCCATGTAAGTTTGGTCAACATAGGGCTTATAGTTACTCGGAAATGAGACCTACACCAAAAACTGCACCAAAAATGTTAACCTGCACCAAAAACATTAACCTGGTCATTCCTTTGCTGAAATTGCAGCATCTGAAACTTTGACTGGTACAATGAAACACACTAGCAACATCTTCCATGCATGTCTAATCAATATAGGACACAGAAGTACTTAAAAAGAAAACTGCTCCAAAAAACTTAACCTTAACCCGGGACGCCAACGCCGACACCGACACCGACGCCGAGGGTATCACATAAGCTCCCCCCAACTTCGTTGAGGTGAGCTAAAAAGTCACTTATTGTGCATTCTGTATTGATCAGGATTGCTTGATTCATAAACAAACGCAAAATGTTACACAAGAGGCCCAAGGGCCTGACAGGTCACCTGAGAATCATGTAACAACCTTTCAACAATTGAATCGGTTCATGTTTTATATCAAAGGTTATCAATTTTAAATTTTGAAAGAGACACTATTGCTTATCATAACTATACATTTAGCTTGCTTACTTTGGTTACTTAATATCCAGAGGTAGATCAGAGTAACAAAGAGAAAATACATTTCCACTTTATAACCAGTTGTGCACCCCATCCCACAGGAACCACTGACCATGGGGCACATATTTCAAAATTCTGGAAATTTTATCATGTTTTTTTTTCATCATTAATGGTTGATTAATACCGAAAAGCTGATTTTAAAGCATTAATTTATTTTCAGACTATGTAATCCCCACCCCCATCCCAAGTACCCTGACTCAAGGGCCCTGATATTAACCATTTTGGAAGAGGCGCCTTTCATCATCATCAATATGTACTTAGAACATTGGCATAATACCCAGGGGCACAGAATTTATGCATCAGACCCTGGGGCCATGAAATTCACAAATCTGGAAGAGGCATCCTTCCTCATCATAACAATGTACATAGTTCATTGGTTGAATACTCAGGAGCAGAGGAGAAGATTTTTAAAGAATTAATGCACTAGTATTTTCACTATATATAATATATATATTAAATAGAGCCCCGGGGCCATGATTTTCACAGTTTTGGAGGAGGCAACCTCATTAAAAATAATTAAGTACTTGTTTAGTGTATTTAATGCCCAGGAGCAGAGAAGAAGATTTTCAAAGAAATAATGCATATTCACTATATAATCATTACAGCCCCGCCCTAACACCTAAAAACCCCTGATCCTGGGGCAATGAAATTCACAATTTAGGTAGAGGCAGCCTTATTCAACACAAACTGTCTACTTGTTTATTATATTTGATGCCCAGGAGCAGAGAAGAGGATTTTCAAAGAAATAATGCATTTTCACTATATAATCTATTTAGCCCCGCCCTAGCACTAGAACCCCTGATCCCAGGGCCATGAATTTCACAATTATGGTAAAGAACTCAATGCTGATTACAAACATGCAAACAGTTTGACTGCTTGATGTCTAAGAAAAAAGATTTTTAAAGGTTGCATAAATTTGAGTGGTTTTGGCCCCACCCCTCAGTCAGAGGCCCCACCCCTCAGAAGGGGGGCAGGGGCCATGAAATTCACAATATGTGTTCCCTTTCACCCATAGATGCTTTAAGCCAAATTTGGTTGAAATTGATTGAGTGGTTGCAGGGAAGAAGCTTAAAATGTTCATATGTTAACGCACGATGCACAACGCACGACGACGGACGAAAACGAATAGCAATAAGTCACCTGAGGTGACCTAAAAACAGAATTATGATATCTGGTTCTAAATGTGCATTGCCAGTAGCTATGGGTTACATTGGAAGTTATTTAAAATATCACATATACAAATATTTAGAAATACTGGCAGAAACTCTTGATAAGAATATTCAATTTAGTATTGCCGATTCTGTTTTTTTTTTCCACATGGGCTGTCAAAAACCAAAGCACACGCAGATGCTTAGAAACTGGAATAGATTTAGGTTGAGGTAGGATTCTTCTCACAAAAAACTGTATTTCCTGTATTTAAAAATTAATGAAATTTTCACAGAACAAAGAAGACAGTATTACTAAGCGATGGTTTCAGTTAGATTATTTTTGACCTCGTTTATATTAGAGTCAAGGTCAGGTCAAGGTCACAACCTTTTCCCTTGTCATTTAGAATAAAAATAACAGCATCAAATCATGATATAGGGTCTTCTATTTCAAAAAATTAAAAATTTTTCTTTTTGCATAAAAAGATATAACGATATAGGGACTATAAGATGATATTACCAAATTGACACAAATAGTTTAACAAAAATGGATTTTGGCTAATCCGATTTTTCTCTGTTTTTCTTAAATGTTTGGGATATTTAAGTTATTTTTATTTGCGCCCTATATTTAACTTTTTCTTATTTTCACATATAGTAAAGCAGTCATATAAAGATACAAAATGATACAAAAACAGTTTTGACTGTTTAGTAAAAGAGTAAAAACAATTTCTATGGATTTTTGGCTCAAATCTGTACTTAGAGTCTAAACTTTTAAAAGCTAACATAATTGTAGTTTGTTTGGAAATTCATATTTATTTGATATATTTCAAAACTTTAGTTCCTTATTATTTATTTAGCTAACATTTGAAAAATTCTTCTAGTTTTTGATTGTGTAAAAATTATAATTAATTCAAAGTTCTATAATACTTTTAAGAGGCAGAAAAGAAGATATTTTCATAAGCCACCATTCCGCTAAAAATATAGTCCCTGCTAGTTTTCAAATACAGTTGACCATTTCTATTTAAAGTTGTTCAGTTGTGATGAGGAAAGAAAAATATTGTCTTTTAAATCTCTTTCACCTAAATATATAAGACATTAAAGCAAATATACATTGAATATTTCATCTACTCAGAAACCAGAGAAGAATCCTACCTTAAGCTTAAGGTCCTTGATCTAAAACCTTTAAGTAATAAAATGAATTCAACTTTCTAGTACATTACCAAATTGAGTTATAGTGTATTTATAGTTCAGAATATAAGAAATTAAATGTATAAATTAAATAATTTTAAAGAAATAGTTTAAAATGGTTGAAAATACTCGACATTTTATTTCCAATATATTAAAAGCAAAATGTTATAAAATAAAAAAAAATAAGTTATCTGGTATTAAGTATGCAATTCGTACAGGTAGCTATTGGTCATACGTGAATTTTTCACCCAAAGGTAACTTTTATCAATATAGGCACAGTCGAAGTGACAATGTTCTGCAAAGAGTGCACTTTTTAATGCTTCCTTCAAATAAATGCAGTATTTTCATATAAAATTGAATGTTTTAATTCATTAATATTTAAAATAACTTGTCGTCAATCAATGTTGACAGTTGTTAACTTCTATACCGCTAGTGGGCGTGGTTTTATCATTCAAAGGGTATTTATTTAGTTTTTCTTTAACAATGTTACTCGATGAATCAAATTCAAGTAATTTACATAAACGGATAATTTGAGTATAGTTCTTTACAAGGTGCCTGTGGCTCTGGTCTTCTATCACATGTGACAGATGTGAAATTTCTACAGTCTCCTGATGACACGTCAAACAATGCAGGATAGGAACATTCCATTTGATCAACTACTGCAGAATTCGCTAAGTTTCTCGCTTTGATTAGTGATGGGGGGGCTGCATTCACAGCACTGCAGTTAAAATAGCGCGCACAATTGTCCAAGGCAGGCACAATGTCTAAAGGATGCACAGCACAGAAATCTGGAACATCAACTATTCAAAAAAAATTATACATATAAATTAAAATTCCAAATTTTTAGATTAATCTTGGTTAAAAAAAAAAAGACGACAAACATAATTTCATTTATGGGTTTCTTCATCTTCGCTAGCCAAGGGTGTCTGATACGCAACTCTCCTCATGAACCCTTGGCATACGGTGTTCGTAGAAGTTGGGTTTATTTTTTCTCGATCGGTCGACCAATCAGCAATTGCTTTTTGTAAATGACGATATTTGCGTTCGGAACACTTCTTGACTCTTTCATTTCAGAAATGAAAAATGCAAGTAAACAACTATCCGTAAGATAACATGCAATTCTATGAATAGATATGGTGTGATCCAATATCTTCTAAATCTATATTGAAGCTGCCGATTTGTACTTTAAATAATTTAAAAACATAACTCAATTATTGCTTCTTTACGGTGGTATATTTAGGACACGCAATTGTTTTTTTTTTTAATACCAGAAAAAAATTATCTTGTGAAAACGACATAATCTTGTGAAAACGAGATAAAATCTTGTGAAAACGAAATATCATCTTGTGAAAACGAGAAATTATCTTGTGAAAACGAGATAATATCTTGTGAAAACGAGATATTATCTTGTGAAAACGAGATATTATCTTGTGAAAACGAGAAATTATCTTGTGAAAACGAGATAATATCTTGTGAAAACGACTTATTATCTTGTGAAAACGACATATTATCGTTTTCACAAGATAACATATCGTTTTCACAAGATATTAAGTCGTTTTCACAAGATAACATCTCGTTTTCACAAGATAATTTCTCGTTTTCACAAGATAATATGTCGTTTTCACAAGATAATATCTCGTTTTCACAAGATAATAAGTCGTTTTCAAAAGATAAATATCTCGTTTTCACAAGATATTATCTCGTTTCCACAAGATATTATGTCGTTTTCACAAGATGATATCTCGTTTTCACAAGATAATAAGTCGTTTTCACAAGATAATTATGTCGTTTTCACAAGATAATTTTTTTCTGGTATTTTAAAAAAAATAATTGCGTGTCCTAAATATACCACCGTACTTCTTAAATATTCTTGAAAAAAACCTTTGATTTAATTTTTTTTTAAACATGCGTCTTAATTTCTGTCGATGATGCAATCTGTGTGTACTTGATTGATTCGAGATCACGTGACGAAAACAATCCCGTATTTTGACTTCACCGTATGCCAAGGGTTCATGAGGAGAGTAGAGTATCAGAAACCCTTGGCTAGCGAAGATGGGGTTTCTTCAAATCGTGAAACACGTAAGTAGTGATTGGCAACAATACTCAGTAGATGATCAACGCTTTTACAAAAAAGATGAAGATGACGAACTGATATCGATCTTAAAAATGTATACATGTATATAATATGTATTCAACACACTGTTAAGGAATCATGAAACGCGGAGATTCTAGAGGTGGGATCAGGTTCCCAAAAGAAGTAAACATCCCCTGTTGACCGGTCACATCCGCCTTGAGTCCTTAATTTAATTGATGAAGTAGGCGGAACATTCCGTAGTCAAATTTAGAAAGAAAGCAAAGGCCTAACAATTGGTACGTGTATAAAATAAGTAAGTATACATACAACGATTAGTTACATGTTTGTTTGCTAACAACCTCATTATAATCATACGTAATATTACGGTCACAGAGGTTTCGAAATGCCGACTCTAAATGAGGTTGTTTGAATATATTTAACAATCACTTATCTATATTTAGCCAGTCGCCCGCATGGCACAGTGGTTAAAACTAATGCGCTAGAGTCGCTTAGTAAGGTGACGATCCTTACGTTGTGGGTTCGAATCCCAATGTGGGAAGTGGAGACTGGTCCTTCGGACGAGACCATAACAACCAAGGTCCCGTGTCGCAATAGATGAAAGATCGAAGAAAGATCCCTCACTGCTTAATGGTTCTAAGTACCGAGTATAGGAAAAACTTTGTAGCTCTCCATCGGCAAGTGTTAGCGTCTTCTTATGAGTGAAAAAAATCTCTCGAGGGACATTAAACAACATTCAATCAATCTATCACTAGCCTGTTTAGTTTTAAAATAGTGATTCGAAGCATGTCCCTTCATATTGCATAAGACAAGTCGTGTAGGAAGTTATAGGTAGAATGTCATCAAACATCATGATCAGCTTTATTTTTATAGAAACACTCTCAGGTAGCAAAGATTCAAATTTGTTCAAATCAGTCCGACCATTAGTAGAATGGTAGGTCCACAATCGGGGATCAAAGATTCAAATAGGAAATAACTGTAAAAAAAAAAATTATTCGTCAATAATCATGAAAAAAAATTCTAATCAAGAGCAACCTCAGGTTACGCATATCAGTAGATATTCAAGCATTTGCTTCTTGCTAAACTTTCGACTTTCAAGGTATTCGATTTTTAACAAATCATGTCCCTTACGGATAAGAACAGACAAGAAATAAATATACTTTCTTTAAATAATTCTAAAACGAAGTAAATTATTGACAAGTAAACAATTCGATGAAACAAGAATATCAACATTCTCGTTTAATGTCATCATTTCGTAAGTTTTATAGTCGACGCTATGACCTTGTCAGCAAATAGAATTTTTCTCGAGCTTAATGCTGACTGACGTTTTTCATACTAAATGTTACTTCATTATTTATACACCGATTTGACGACGGATTTTTCCGTTTTCTCCCGATCAACTCAAGGAGCTCATGGCGGGTGTGACTGGTCGGCAGGGGATGCTCACTCCTCCATGGCCCCTGATCCCATCTCTGATGTTTTGGAGGTCTGTGTTTGCTCTGCTCCTATTCTATATTGTTTTATGGATTTTTAACCTTGAATACATTTCGTAATCTCCATATGTTTCTATGTATAAACATATATAAATTATATACCTATATTGACTGAAGCTGGTCTATCGATTTAACTTTCACTAAAAACTTTGTAAAAGTAAGAAACTACAATGTATAAACCATGGATAATAACTGACAAGAAGATAAATTGCTCTAGTGAAATGAAATAAATAAGTTTCCTTATCAGCTAAGGGCTACAGTATAAAGGTTATTGAAAATATATTGCCTTTTGGAACATCCGTCATGCAAGTGCTTAGTCTCGAATTGAAGTACTCTCCTTGAGAACACTGAGTGATGTTAATGGTACGGTTGGTGTCACAAAAAATATAATCTGCCTGCCATAGTTTTCCTTGAAAGGCCTCTTTTCCATTTGTCAATCCTTGACAACTTGGCAACCGTTTGGGACAAGGGACACAGGAGATATTGCTGGTTACACACTGATTTTGAACATACTCACCTAAAATTAAATAAATACACGCATTTAATCTCAACATTTTTATTGACACTTAAACATTGACATGGAAAGTTGAAAACAACTTTTTTTCTCAATTATCTTATTCTATTGACTCACATGGTGCTTGGGGCTCTGTTCTATTGTCACATTTCACTGTTTTGAAATTCTCACATCTCATGCTTATGGTAGAGAACAGATCAGGATATTTACATTCCTGTAGATGTTTTCCGTATTTGGAGTTGTCCACGGAACAGTTGTAATACTGAGCACAGTTGTCATTCTTTCGGAAGATAGCCTTTGGATTCTGTTTGCAGATCTTATCAATGTTATCTAAAACACAGATTTCATAAGTAGGCATTTCTAATGTTATACACGGATTTTTCAAAAACTTTGCTTCAAAAATTAACGTAGGTAACATATGCCGGCGGCCATTAAACTTACTTGGACTTGCTCTCTCTAAACAATTTTTTTGAATTGGGTCAAAGAAGCGAGAGGAACATTTCCTTATATCAATGGTCCTGTTTTTATAGCAGATGGCATAATCAGGTTTCCATAACAACCAATTTATAGGGTTCTTCCCATCAGGCAATGTCACACAAGATGGAAGCCTATTTTTGCAAGGAATACAGCTCCTATTTGCTGGAGCACAAAGGTTCTTCTGGTACTCACCTTATTCAATTAAAAATATCTTTAAAGATAGATGTCATTAAAAGAGCATGAAGTGATTTTTATAATCTTAGAATAATAATAAACTGATTTCATTCCTTACAAGGTGCTTGAGGTTCCATGCGTTTGTTACAAGTCACATTCTCAAACCATTGGCATGACATAGATGTCAATGAAAAGAGATCTGGATAAAGGCATTCCATTGTGTGATTACCATCAAATCCTGAATCAGAACAGTTGATGTACTGACCACAGTTGTCTTTTTTTGGAAGTAAAGCGTCGGGATAAGCTGAACAAAAATCTGGTATATCCACTAAAATCAAACAAACAAGATTCAGTTTCATAGTCATATATCAATGCACAGTGATAAAACTAAACCTAGCAGTACAGGAATAGGTCTAAATGACCGTGTAGTGTAGGGCGGCGCTGTGAGAAATCCATGGGCATCGAAAGCAAATTTTTGACTTGCCTAGATAGTCGAGCGGTCTAACGTGCTGTTCCTGTACTGCTAGGAGATCGATTCCGTAGGTCGAGAGTTCAACCTCAGGCTGGTGCGGAAATTCCTTACAAAAGTGAATTTCTTTGTGCTTTCTATATTACGGTAATATTTCTTCACTAAGGGCAGTTATATTAGTTTAAGAGTTGTTGTAAATTGTGCTTTATAAATAAAACTAATTTTTATTACATGTGTTGGTAACGATCCTCTAATAAAACTAATGTACAACTAACTGTATCTCATTTCTATTCTCAATGAGTGCGTAGTGTAGGGTGGCGCTGTGAGAATTCAACCGACATCGAAAGCAAGTTTTTGACTTGCCTAGATAGCTGATCGGTCTAACGCGCTTTTCCTGTACTGCTACGAGACAGATTCTATAGTTCGAGATTTCAAACCCAGGCAGGGGCAGAAGTGGGTATCCTTAGAAAAAATATTTACATATGCGAATATCTTTCTTAGATGAACCTATTGAAGAGAAAATATTTTCTATTCTGTGTGAACTTGATTCGGAGGTCAGAGGTCATAGCGCGACCGAATAGCTCGGCAAGGTGATATCTTGTTTACATATATTTCTGTTTGTTTTCGGAACTACCAAGTTGAAAGCGATGAAAAAGGTAAAATAACTGACACATATAGATATTTTCATTCAACAGATGTTTAATAGATCTTCCTTAGGTGTGAAGAATATTTAAAATACTATAATTACAGCCTAAAATCGGACTTACCTTTTTAACCCGAATTAAATTCCTTCGAAGTTATGCTAACTAAAACAAGGGATATCACCGCTTTTGACTTCAAATATATTAAAAACTCATAAATAGTAAGATTATTCTCAGTAGGGATCATTGTTCTTACATTATAAACAAGGAATTCCTGAACTGGACTATTGCACTTGAGTGTGAATATTCAATAACTTTCAAACCAAACAACTTCTAGGCCCCTAGGTCATTGCGCGTCACAACATTCATGTAGCAAATGAGGCGGCCCGTTCGTGTAATAAATGCAGTTTTACTCGGAATTTATTCGTCTCAAATGTAAATATAAGTAATAATAACTTTATGTTTCTACTGAGAAGCCCTTCGGGCTTCACATGATTTGATCACGTGAGCACTAAAAGTTCATTTCCCAGTGAACTTTTTAACTGGTTCTTTATTTCAAGTCTGATGGTCACGCCAAGGTCCGATGGCTCGTTTATTATGAGACGCTAAAGTGTAATGGCCTGATACGTCATGGTCCGATGGTGCGGAGGAACAATCAACGTTTATGACGTCAAAATAGTCCGACGTTTAGATGTGTCCTGCATATAAAATCCATTGATTTATTATTCGTCTCGCATACAATTTTTTTGATTTTGTTTATTGTTTTTGCCCACCAGAGCTATTAGGGCTAGTCCTCGTACACCATTCTACTGATAAGGTTTAGAACATGTGTTTAGGGGTATGTAGGGACAACTCATGCATTTACGCTTTTCAATACTAAACTGAATTTTGCTTTTTTCCTAACCAAGTACTCAGGTGAGCGATGTGGTCCCTGGCCTTTTGTTCTTTATTGTTGCTGAAAAAATTGCATTTAAACCGTGAATCCGCGACGTAAGGATCCACTTCGCGACTCCACCTTTATGTAGATTTTCCGCAACTTCCATGGAATACCAAAGCATATTCCATGGAATTCCATGGAATTTTTGTTCCGCAGAATTCTTTGGAATTCTCCGGAGTATTGGGACGGAACTTTTTCGGAGTGGTGCGGAATTTCAAATCTAGCCTGGAAAAGAGCGGAACAATGCCAGAATAGAAATTTGTGGAGGAAATCCATGGAATTCCAGATTATTTGTAAATCTAAAGAATTCCATGGAAATCTGTGGAATTCCAGGAAAATACAATGAAAACTGTATTAGTGTTAAATAATTACAAAAAAAACAACTTGATAACATCACAATTTTTTATACATCAAATCTATATTTGCAAAATAAAAAAATTCACTGTTTCTTTTACAACGTTTTTTGAGACAAATATTGCATATACCTCTCAGATGTACAATATAAGCACACTTTTTAAATGTATTCTCACTGAAAGTATTTAACATCAAAGGTTATTAACAAAAATATCCAGAGAAAAATATGATTACTGGAGGATCACCATGGGTAAATTATGTCATGATATACATGTACATGGTGTAGTAAACTAAAGTCTGCATTTTGTTTTAACTAAGAGGTTAGTTTCATAAAATGACATTGGCCAAGGATTGAAAAGGTCATTGAAACTTCAACAGGGTATACATTTACAATGAACTGCCAGTGGCTCATGTACATTAACATTACAAAGTTAGTGACTAGAGTGACAAACACATACTTATGAAATGCAAAAAAAATGTACTACACAACTATATTGATACAAAGATCCCATAAAATCAACAGTTGCTTTTTTCCTCAAACGTACGTGCCAAAGATCCAAATTATGGAAGATCCAAAACTTCTGACGTGTTTGCTAGAATCACTTCCTCACTGAAATATCTCATGAAATTTGCAATAGAGGGTTGACAGATAACTGGTGTCACGAACGGATTCACTTTTAGTACAAAGGCTCAGCAAGTTCGATGTTGATCATTCCAAAAGACACTTCAAACTTTCGATCCTTGCACGATTTCTGAAAGAAGATGACCATTCAGATGTATCATTATTGATATCCATATAAATATATGACAATTAATGAAATTAAATAAAGCTCTACCAAACAATTGGTTCTTTCGACCTGGCAGATCAGTTTACTGTAGATTATGAATTCATTATCTTGCAATTTTTTGTTCAAATTAGGAAGTTTATAGACATCAAACACCAGTCACTGATCAAAAAATTCACTTAGGCCTTAAAATGACTCAGGTAAGCTAAAATGAAATGGTTAGAGCTCAAGCTCAATGCCTGACTAACATTGAAAAAGATATAATTTCAATTCATGTGATTTTATTGATTAAGAAAATTATTAAGAAATCTGACCTTTTTTTTCATATAGCTCTTGTCCTTCTTTTGAGCATCCGGATTCCTGTAAAATGTATGTATACTACATAGAATATGATAGCTATTTGATCTTAAATAATTATGCATACCTGTGCTGTAAGCATGTTTAGATTACCTGTCAGAATTCATTAAGCATGGTAAAAATTTACCTTAAATTTTGTTTACTTGGTGTAGTTGCAAATTAAAAAAAAAAAATAAATCTTATGCTAATTAAAAGACATTGATTAATAAAATCAAAGTTAGTTTATTTGTTTTGAATGATAATTTGAGCTAAAAACAACAAATTTGTTAAAAGTTTAAAGGGCCTTTCATTTTAAATTTATAAATGCCAAATATGATATTATTATTTAAAAAACTAGGAATTATAACAAATTTGTTAAAAGTTTAACTAGGTCTTTAAACATACAAGTTTTTGACAAATTTAACCATATTCACAAGCCAAGTAAGTGATTGGCTAAGCATCTACATCACATGTATATCCACTTTTATTAAAACGCCAGCGCTGTGGGACTGTAGCAACGATTAAAACAATCATAATAAGAGCTGAAAATGATCATGAACATGCATTACAAAATAGGCATTTTTATGCACATCATATTCTGTAAACGTTATCTTGAACAAAGGAACGTACAGGTAAAATTCTTTACATCAGTTCGATTCCAAACGAGGAATTTCGGGTTAAAATCCATGATCTAAATGATTATGTTTAGAGTTGTTAAATAATTATTACAAAATTGAAATAGTGCTTGTCCTAACGATTTCACAGTCGGGCATTTTAGTATGGTTTCCAGACTAATGAACAATAGCAGCATTCTTCATTCAGGGACACATAAAATACTGTACAATATTGCACCTACCGGGTCTTAAAATGTCCTCATCTTCTTCCATCCCAGGCTAATTATGATTCCCCTGTTCGTGACACTCGCTTTCCAACTCTCCTTCTGTGCAACATCAACATGGCATTCGATATTTTTGAATTTCAGCGTGTTGTTCAAATTAATTGTTCACAGAGCCCGACTTCGATCCCAATGTTATAATTGTGGTGTTAGTCGAAATTTTAAAAAAATCTAAGTAATTTTCCACAGTTTTCCAGTGCAGAAAATGGCTAAGTTTCTCATTTTGTATTTTTTTCCAAAGAACTCCTCTACTCTCCTAGCCAAGAAATGTCTAAGTCCATTTTTTTTTCAAATTCCAAAATATTCCAAAAACTTCCAGACACACTTTTCGAGTTTTGTATGGAAACGAATAGAATTCCATAGAATTCCAAAACTTTTCCTAACCCTTTGGAAAATCTTCATTAGGGTAGAGCAGACGCTCTAATTACTAAGCCACGCGGGCGATAAGTTGATATATTACTTTTTGGAGACATATTTTACAGAAAGCTTATAAACCTTTTAAGTACCAGTCCACATAAAAATCAGACAAAACTGTAAAAAAGTGATACATGAGAGTTCTCAGAATTTGATGATTTTTAATAGATTTATTTTTTGAACAATGTATGTAAAATGAAAAATGTTTTGAGTCATGGTAACCATGGAAACCCGGCCAAAGAAATTTCCTTAAAAACTGTTCATTTTTCAGTGTTGAAGGACAAAAAATCACCTATCTTTGAGGCTTAAAATAACACGTAAATACCATGAGAATTATACTTGTGGGTGTAATAAAGATACACATTTATAGTGTTCTAATAATGTAAAAAAATATTTAGGTCTTAAGTCAGTTCTGTGCTAGACATTGGAAGGTACACATGTTTTACAGGTTTTGCTGATTCAGTATTTTTTGTGATTTTGGCAATATTATAATTTTA